TTTCTCCAAAGTAAAAATATCAATACGATTGATATTATTTCAAAGAGAATTGATTCAAAAAGCAAACAGAATCCGCATATTTTTACCATGTGCATAACATCGTTATTTAATAAACAAGTGGCAAGTTCGCATTTTGGAACTGATTCGAACCATAAAATAAGAAGCATAATGGGAGATACATTCCATATGCAAAGTACTATTCCATGTAATACAGTTTTCTGCTGAAACTATTCAATAAGAAATATATATATATATATATATATATATTTTAAAAAATAAAATTTAATCAAATTAATCTTTTAATGTTCATACCATAACTATAGCAGAAGCAGCATAAATAAATTCAAATCCAAGGGTGAAATACGGAGACAGAGTATTTGGAGCATATATATAAATCATGTAAGAATAAATAATTGTGTTTGAAGTAATATAGATGAAGCATACAATTATAAAGATTTTTTCTAGATAAGAATAATTCGAAAAAAAACGAAAATATGAATTTTGATTAAAGATTATCATGTTGTGGATTGTCAAAAAGAAATTTTAAATATGATAAAAAGTTATAATCGATGAAAAAATGCTTTTAAAACCAGATTTGTGTCCTCACATTGCGTCACGGGTTCACAGGATCCCGAAAGATTTTTTTCCGTGATACAATTTCGTCATGTTATATTGAATTTTTTAAAGTTTTTTTTAACCTTTCGTAAAACGTTATATAAAATTTTAAGGTAATTCAGATATTTCTCAGTTAAAAAAAAAAAATTTATAAAATTTTTACAAAGTTCACCTTATAGTGTTAATGGTTTGAATAAATTATAAATAAGGCCATTATAGCTAGAATTAAAATAAATAAATGGTGTTATTACATCACGTGTTTCAAAATTGACAATAACAATGGATGGATTCTTTTATAATCTAAAAATTCAAGATAACATGAATAACATGATTCGGTTGAGAATATTTTTTTTTTAAAGAAAAAATATTTATATTCGTGTCATCCGTAAAAAGATAAGAATTTTTAAAAGGGCACGAGATTTTTTTTGAAGATCGCATGATCAAATCTAAGCTAAAAATAGTTAGAAAAAAAAAGTGACAAGTATTTAAAAACACCCAACACTATTAAATCCAATAAAAACAAAAGGTAAATTTAAAAAACATAAAACTAACACTCATTCTATAGGAAATTACCTCCTCCGATTTAATAATTAAGACCCCGATTCTACAAAATGGAAGCATTTGGTTAGTTTTAAAAAAAATTAACACTTCCTCAATAGGAAAAAGATGAAGATGCTGTCTTATCATCAGCTCATCAGCTAAACAATAACAAGGTTTAATCCATATGTAATTCGCTGTCAAACTATTGGTTCGTAATAAATCAAGCCCAGTCTCAAACAATATACCCAGCACAAAAAATTTTTATTATTGGTTAAAATTCAGCAAATTGTATATCTTGACTCAAAGATTTTGGGGTTGGATGTTGGAAGTGTGAAAGACATTGCGAGAGTATAGTTTAGAGAGTAGGAAAAAGGATTCGTTGGAATCTGCAAAAAACAATTTTAGGTATTAATTACTTTAACGTTAATATCCAAAAAAAAATTTTTTTTTTTTTTGTAAATATTAAAAATAAACCGCTCTGCTTTACCTAGTACCTGTGGGAATAACCATAAACTTTGGCGAAAGATTTATTAACTTTGTCAACTATTTACAGTTTGCAGTCTAGTTTTCTTCGTAAATAGACCTTAATTTGAAAGGGATAATATTCGTTACAAAAAATGACAAAATTGTTTTAAAAATTATCCTACGAATAATAAGTAACATTATTTTCAAGGAATTGATATGTAGAAATCGTGGATGTAAACTTCATTTAAGTTGAAAATAAAGCCGGTTTATAAATAAATCAACTATCTTTGCTGTAAAAGTAAAGCGCTTTTACAAACAGTCATTATTATTTCTCGTTATAAAAATCAGTTGACATTATTATTCGTTAGTATATGACTGATATTAAATATTTATTTTATTTTTATATACTCAAACGTTGTGTCCTGGGTGGTAGTGATTATTGTATTTATAATATGAGAGAAATATAATAAATAAATAATAAATTATTGCTAGTCGTTATAATTTAGATTTAATTAAAAATTTAATTTTATTTATCTCTTAATAATGAAAAATTGTTAGATTGAGCAAATAAATGTACATACAACAAAATAATGAATAAGATAAAATATTCTTTTTCGATATTTGAAAATGAATTGTTTTTTTCTGCGCCATATTCCCAATCCCGCAATTGGTGATAATAAAACCAATCCTTTGCTTTTTTTAATAAAGAGTTTTCTTGCCTATTTACCGAAAACTTCTCTTAAATTCTTATTATCAAAGAAATATTCACCAGGATCATATTTGGCACGAACTTTTTCAAACCTATTAAGACGGTCATCTACACTTAAACATTTTCTTATGTGTGGTATAATATCAGGCACGTATTCCCACAATTTAGCCCAATGTGGTTGAGCGTCAAACTTTTGCATCCACCTTTTGGCTAATTCGATGGAAAATTCTTGAAAACCTTTAGTACCATTGACAGATAAAATTTCAAGCATTACGAAATTTACGTTCGGATCTTTGTCGTATGATGTAGCTAATAAGCAACGAGATGATTTGTTGATTCGAAATTCTGCTGTCAAATTTACGGGGAAATTATTTTTGTCGGCTTCTTCGTAAATCTGTTTGTTAAACGTGTTTAAAAGAATAAAGATGTTTTAAAAAGTTAAGGTGATATGAAATTTTATACACAAAGATTATATTTAATGCAAGCATAATATTGCCGAACCCTTTTAACAATGTAATTGACTTCTTCGATAACGTTGGAAAAGTCTTGATTGACTTTGAAGGAGAATTCCAAATCCAAACATGGAATATTGTCGATACCGGCCTGAAGATCAAAGGGAATTAATTAAATCCTTGATAATATCACTTGATGATAAACCATATTAAGACGACTTACTTGATAATGAATAGCGTCCGGAGCCTGTAAAACTATACTATTATTATTAACCCCAGCTTCGAAGAGAAGGTGAGTTAAAAAGGGTGTAGAGGTCGGGACTTTGGCCATGAAATCGTAAAGATGATCGCCAAAAGAAACCGAAAAAGACTGTAAAACACGTTCAAACTTGAGTTTATTCTCTGACTTTTCAACTGGTCTTTGTGTCCTTTTATGTTGTTTTATCCAAATTTTATCATTATCTCCTTTAAGTTCCGGAGTATTGAATGGCCAATAGAATATTTCAAGACTATCAGATTCTGTAAAGAGATTCTTTAAGTTTGACGCATTCCAATCAGTTGCGATGTCTGGGGTGGTGTCGATCATCTCTAAACTGTACATTGGTTCAACTTCGAAAGTAAGCTTGTATATGATCCCCAAGAGACCTATTATTATATAATAATAAATTAGTTAGTGATGGATACAATAAAAGATCAATAACGAAATATTTACCCAAATTGATTCTAGCAGCGCTCATTTCTTCAGGATCTATTTCATCCGAAAATTCATGAAGTTCTCCATCAGAAGAAGTAACGATTTGGATTGAAATTACTTTATCCGAAATGGTTGCATTGTTACATCTCGCGCCGTGACAACCTGCTGCGACCACTCCTCCAGTTGTCACGCTATCCAATACCGTTGCGGAATTTAAAGTTAACGAAGGTTGATGTTCTGACAAAGCGTTATCAAGGTCTTTGAAATACACGCCTAATAATATCAAAAATGAGAGTGTTATCGAAACAATGAGAATTGACGGCTAGGGAATCAATTACTTACCAGGTTCGGTGGTAACAGTCCAAGTTTTTAATTTTTCATTAAAATTAATGTCAATTTTATTCAAATGTTCATCAAGTACCAAATAATCATTGGTAACACTTAAACTACTCCAAGTGTGACCGGATCCCGAACATCGAATCTTTTTCTGATTCTTTTTCGCCAATTCAATAATATTTTTTATATCTTGCAAATTTTTCGGTCGAAATATCTCGGTAGGGGTGCTTTTTTGGTTACCGGACCAATTCTGCCAATCTTTGTCAAAAATTCTAGTCATTTTTTTTTATTATTTTCTGCACTTGAGAAAAAGTCGAGGTTTAATCAAGTCATTTATATAGATAGTAAAGATGACATAATATGCACCAGAAATCAATTAAAATCACCAATTCAAAAATGGTACACAAGATGTGCGTGTGTATAATTGATTTTTGTTCAATCGGACGTCGCTTAAAACAAATAAATTATACTTTATTTGTTTATCTCATTGATAGAATGTTGGGCAGGAAATGGTAATTTATATACCATTCTATTATAATTATAAATTGGGTACTAGCCATCACTTTTATTAGTGTTGTACAATAAACGATTTGGGAGTATAAGTCATATGACCATTTATTGTATTATAAAGATTTATGTCGGATGGGCTCTACGATGTTCTAATCGTAGAAGAACCACTTATATTTCTTTGAAATAAAAAAAAAAAGTATAAGTGACGTTACACGAGATATAGGACTTTAATGTACTCAACATTATAAAAATCGATGGTCGCATTTTCTTATGAGACCTTGGAGAGACAAATCTACGTAAAGGTATGTTTGGATTTAAACTTAGAATTTGAGATTCTAAAATTACCTTACATTTTTCGCAGATGAACTTGAGAGAATTCGATATCCTTAACTGAATCGATGTTAGATGAACCAGTACCATTGTCAAAAAAAATTTGAAGTGAATAGAGAAATTATTCAAAGCTTATTTAGTTTAATTGCCTTAGAAAAATCAAATGAAAATAAATTATTGAATATTTATGATATGGTAATTTAACCTAAAAGAATCCATGATCACATCGAAATAAAATACAAAAATTCATATAACACGCAAAGATACATTATTTAAACATTTCTTTTTATTAATTGTATTAAAGTTATAACTTTCATTATACTTCTCTAAAATATATTTAATCCTAAATCTAAATCAAGGTTACTTTCGCATATTCGTAAATATCAAACGAAAATTGTTTTTGACCAAAATTTATTTCAACACTTTCTCTAATACTTTCCATACCAATCATAGGATAGAGATTATCACATCTAACATTTTTAAATGCAATTCCTATAATTATAAATATTAAATATATTCAATAAATTTAAGATATTATAAATCATATAAAACACTTTTTTAAAAGACATTTACCCAAGTGTATACCATTCTTAGTGAAGAAAATAGTACGATTTAAAAAATTAATCCCGACACCTATTGTATCACCGGTAGTAAATAATGGACCATATTTTCTACCAGCAATATGTGATGTAAATTTTTTACCATCATCTCCATGATACCCATATGAATTATAATCCCATCCTATCATTATAAAGATAAAAATATAATTAATAATTAAAGATTTAAAAATGAAAGAATATTATATTACCTGGCATTCTATTTAATTGTATGTCCGGTTTACAAAATCCAAGTCCAATGCGTCTGATCAATTTATAATCATCTTAGTCTTAGATAAAGAAGTACTTAATTATTTCTTAATTTAGGTACTAACCCATGAACTCCTCTATCAATTATAACTATTTCGTAATAAAATAATCCGACCTCGGGTGGCACAGAACGATTTGCTCTTATAGCACCAGCTTCACCATATCCAGCTCCTATAATTCTCATTTAATTATTATAATTAGTTTCGCTAGTAAATTTAAATTGTAAAATTTACCTTCACATACAACTTTTAGTCCGTCGTCGTTGACTCGTAAACGAGTCGCCGAATCATGTTTATTTAATTTAGTTGGTAATTTAAATTTATCCGTAATAATATAATTATAACTCGGTGAAAAAATTAAATATGAAGGATTTGTTTTATCCATATTTATCTTTGAAACTCTGATGATCAACTGTAACATCATTATTATATATATATATATATTTTTAGCAGATCATTACTTAGAACAGGATAAATTTATTTATTGCATCGAATTGTATTACACTATTACTAAATTGTAGTAAACCTAAAAAATTTATTATAGATATAATAAATAAGTTTTATACTAAAGTATATTCTATCTGATAAAAATTCCAGGCCATCAATTCCTTTTGTAAAATAATTAAGCCAAAAAGAAAATCTTTTATCTAATGTTATAAAGCTTTTTAAGCTTTTTGATTAAATGAATCATGAATAACCAATTTAAGATTTAATATATTTTTTTTTTTATAAATATGTGTGATGAATACTCCTTTACAAATAAAATTTTAAATTACAAGTTTTTTCTTTTATATTATATTTAGTTACATATATTTATTAATTGATAACAAAAATATAAAGAATTGTTAGAAAAGAGATCAAATTTTCAAAAAATTTTAAAAATTTATTTTTAAGTAAAATTGATATAAATTTATTATCTGATTCAAAATCTTAATTATTTGAAAAATATTTTTATAATTTAGTTTATTGTTTTAATATTCATCTCATATTATCCCTTAAATGGTTTATTTATTAAAATTTATAATAAAATTAAAATATTTTAATATCTAGTGATCATAATAATATAAAATTTAACTTTTTAAATTCACCATATCTAATAAAACTATAATTATATTTCTAGCATCAATAAATCAAAAATTATATTATTTTAAAATATTTTAAATTTTTAAAAATAATTATTTATCTAATAATTACAGAAAAATATCATTTATTTATTAAATTCTACTCATAAAATAATATTAAAAAGTAGTATTTTCATATTTCTAAATTAATAAATAGTAAGATATTCTGATTTAAATAATTAGATTATTTTTATAATAATTCATTACTTATTTATTCTTAAAAAATTATTAACTAATAGCATTTTTTTTTGGATTTTGTTTAAAAAATATTATAAAATTATTATAAAATTTATAAAATTATTATTATATTAATAAAATATTTAAATATTTTAGATATATTTGTTAACCTTTTAAAAATAAAACTCTGAATAAATTAATTATAAAAAAAAATAGTTTAATAAATTAGAATTTTAATTTAATTTAGATTTATTTGAAAAATATCAATAATATTTTTTGATAAAAATTGTTTTTTATTATAATTTTTATTTTCTAATATTTATTTTATATGAATTATTTTAGATAAAATAAAATAAATAAATATATATTTCATTTATAAAATTAGAATTATATATTAAAAATCAATATTAATTATTATTTAAAATATAATATAAATAAATATTAATTAAAAAAATTCTTTATAACAATTATTCTTTAGATTATCTAACAAGTAAATTGATCTAAAAGTTTAAAATAAGTATTAATTTCTTAATAAAATATAAAATATTTGATTTTAATAATATTATTATTATATAAAAAATATAGTTAAATATATTTTTACCATATTAATATATATTTTAAATTTATTAAAAAGTTTTATAATTATTATAAGCTAAACTAAATTATACTTTATCAATTATTGTATTTATTATAACTAAATTACAACTAAATATTTTGTTATGATTAAAAAGTTTTAATATAACTAGGGTTCCTAAAAATCGAATCGAATCAAATATTTAAATTTGATTTAATTTTTTAAATTGAATTGAATCAAATTGAATTGAACTCAAATATTTGATTGAATCTATTTGAATCGATTTGAATTTGATCAAATCAAATCAAATCAAATCAGATCCAATCGAATAGAATTGAATCGAATATAAAAATTTTTAATTTTTACAATGATATATTAAAATAAAGTTATTCTAAAGTTTTAATTAAGAAAATTATTAGTAATTACACTAAAAAATTTCAAAGATAGCTTTTACAAAGTAAGTTTAGTAACTGATAAATTTTATTATTGTGAACGAATAAAATATGATAAGACTTATGTGGCACAAATGATCAATAAATCTGACAAATACAACATATCTGACATTTCTAACATGTCTGACATATATAATATATCTAAAATGATTGATAAATACGATATATTAGACAGATTCGACATATATGACATATCAGATATATTTGATATATATAATATATTAGACATATTAGTTATATCTTTCTATATACTGTATTTTGTATAAATAGATAGCTTTTTAGATCATGTAAAAAGTAAGATTTGATAAGTCAGTTTTCTATTAGTTTTTAAAAGGCAAACAGGCCTATTGTATTACTAGTGATATCTGATGAAATTACCTTTCTTAATATGACAAAATTGACGAAATTGAAATGAAGAAACTAGTTTTTTATTAATAACAAAATTATTTTACTTAAAATGTAATCCGCATATAATCGACAAAAAATTACTATATAAATTCTGGGAAAAATAATCGTAAATATTTCCAAATTGGTAAGGTATTACAAATTAAAAAGTCACAAATGATGATGTAATCATACCGAAAATCACATGATAAACTTAAAATGCCATGGTAATATCAAAGATAACGCTCTATACACATAATTCATAATAAAGCGTTAAAATCTGGCATTAACCATGTCTCAAGTATATGTTACTCTAATAGAAACTGGCTCAATTGTAGAAAACCTTCACTATGGACCTTTTTCACGTTATTGGTGGGAAGTTTCAAATATTTCTGACTCAAATACTTATTCTCAATTTCCAATTAGAGTAGGTTAAAAACTAAAACGTGTTTGAATTGACGTGAATTTTATATGACAATACAAACTTCCAGTTCTGGCTCTATGCTACCTAAATATTGTTGTCAAAGTGATAATTTTTTTGTTATAGAAACAAATGCAACTAAGGTAATTTCCAAAACTTATCAAAAATTTTTTCAAAGTAAAACAAGATATTCCGGTCATATTGTTATTGGATGGAATGACAAAAAAATAATAGATATTCTTTCAACTACTATTGATTTTTGTCCATTTTCATGTCAACTTGGTGAACATGAAATATTTATTTATGGATTGGGTTCGTCTACGTGTTTAGAATAGAATAAAGCGGGTAATGGATACAAATCATCAATTAAATACATATATAAGAAACATCCAGCTATATTTGTTTCTAAAATCGAAGATAATTAATGCTATATTCATATTTATCAAGATTTTGAACTTCAAAAAACATTTGTCGGAGATACACCGGATGATATTTGGAGAAATTTGGGTTATATTCAAAAAATTTGAGGAAAACAATTATTTGGATTGGAAGATCAGATTACACTGCAAAAATTATCTAAATTACGCATTCTACAATGCACTCTTCGAGAATGAAGTAATTTTAATCTAATGAAAAAATTACATGAACATCATCTTCAATGCTGAACTTCTGCTAATATTGAATGGTATAGTTTATTTATTAGATGGAATAAAAGTGAGTATAATATAATAGAATTGAGTTCAGAATTAAAATTATTATATCCACAAGATCATCAATTTTCTGATTGCGAGCTAGATGCATATTTATCAATGCTTCGTGCTATTGGATGTTCAGATATTACTCCTTGGCCACATAATAATTCTGAGGTACTGTATAATCAATTTGTACATTGAGAAATTATGAATATACAATAACATAACTAAATAATATCATATCAATAGTATCAATTTTGGACTAAATCACAAAATTCAACACAAGATAAACAAATGTTGGCTATTCTTTACCAAATGGGATTTCTTGTCAACGATCCTTTAAATTCTGCAGAAACCTTTTGGTCTTGTTTCCGACAAGCTTTAAATGATAATAAAAAAACTAGAGATGGAAAATGCTAAATTTTATCAATTATAGCTAACGATTTTACCTATAAAGAATTAGAAAATAATCTAGGGGTAAGAAAATGACCTTACAATATTACATTATCAATATAACTAATTAGTGTAATTATAACATAATAGGTTGGGTCTCATACTATTATTGAATCAAAAAGACATGCTATATTGAATAGTTTTGGTACTCCGCCTCTTGAAAAACCAAAATTTCATAGTCTAAAACTTACAATAGAGCAAATTGAGCAGTTTGATCGCTTCTTTATGAGAAAGAATGTTGTTAACATGAGTTCCTATCGAAATCATTCAAAATCAGGCTTACCAATAATGTATTTGCAAGATCATAAACAGGCGTTTTGGAAAAAATTTTCTGAAGAATATTCAAATGGAATGTGTCGTATGGCATTTATGACACATTTACAGGGAAGTAGATTTGTTTATCAGGATGATCTAGGTGATCTTTGCTCAGAATGCAATGAATGTGAATATGAAATTTTTGCATCCATTAATACCATCATTGCTGTCCATGTAAAAGATGAATCTTTGAAGGTATTTCAAGAATTTGTTACATTTAGATTGATATTTAATGAAGTAGTTAATATTTATTACATTACAGGAAAAGCTAATTCAAAAATTACATATTTTAAGAAGATATATGAGGCGTGAATATATAAAAGGATTAGAAATAACATCATCGGGAATTCCAATACATAAACCTTGCATATGTCATTGCCTTAGATATTCATTTGGGGTTTGTAATATTCAATATTTTGAAATATGTAGTAATTGTAAAGAATTGTTCTATTTTTTTAATCTAATCAAAAATGATGTAAATGAAGAATTACATGAGTCATTAGATAATTATTTGAAGAAATTAATTTCATGAATAGGATATCATGCGCGAAAATTATATTTGAATACTCACGTTCAGATGAACCTTGATGAGTTAGATAAAAATGGAGCGGTAATTATAGTTGACTATAAAATGAGAATATTATCATATAGCGCAAGAGAAACTAAATCTCAATTTTTTGGAAAGAGAGGTTGGACATTGCATTCTTCATTAGTATACACAAAAAATATTATAAACAACAAGCTCAATATATAAGTATTTGACCATTGGAGTGATGATACAGGTCAGGACGCCTGG